CATCACTAATTATCAGGGAAATGCAAATCAAAATCACAATGCGATATTGCCTTACTCCTGCAAGAATGGCTATAATAAAAAAAAAAAATCAAAGCATAGTAGATGTTGGTATGGAGGTGGTGAAAAGGGAACACTTCTACATGCTGGTGGAAATGTAAACTAGTATGACAACTATGGAAAACACTGTGGAGATTCCTTAAAGAATTGAACATAGAACTATCATTTGATCCAGCAATCCCACTACTGGGTATCTACCCAGAGGAAAAGAAGTCATTACAAGAAAAAGATACTTGCACATGCATGTTTATTGCAGCACAATTTGCAATTGCAAAAATGTGGAACTAGGCTAAAAACCCATCAATCAACAAGTAGATAAAGAAACTGTGGTATATGTGTATTTATATGATGGAATACTACTCAGCCATAAAAAGGAATGCATTAATAGCATTTGTAGCAACCTGGATGGGACTGGAGACCGTTATTCTAAGTGAAGTAACTCAGGAATGGAAAGCCAAACATCATGTGTTCTCACTCATAAGTGGGAGCTAAGCTATGAGGATGCAAAGGCATAAGAATGATACAATGGACTTTGGGAACTCAGGGGGAAAGGGTAGGAAGAGAGTGAAGAATAAAAGACTACAAATTAGGTTCAGTGTATACTGTTTGGGCAATAGGTACACCAAAATCTCACAAATCACCACTAAAGGACTTCCTCATGTAACCAAATACCACCTGTTCCCCCTGAAACCTAAGGGAATATATATTTTTAAAAGGTATTACTTGCTTCTGTAGATGAACTCTATCAAATCATTGGTGCTTTTTGCCTGAAGACACCAAAGTAGTAAACGAAATATGGAATCCATGGACTGTCCTGAGATACCAGAAGAAAATGTTACGTCTCAGTCAATAAGATCAAGGTACCTGAACGAGGGTTCCTGGTGTATATTCTCCTTCATCCAGGACAAGTGTGGAGCCGTACCAGAAGGCCAGTGCATAACACAAAAAGATGAGACACCACACAAATCCAGTAAAGAATCCCATCACCATCCCTTTTCTAATTCCCCAACGCTGGGCAAACACAAGATTTTTCTCATACCTGTGAAGAGAAAACGTTTGAGTCAATTTCAGCAGAAACAAGTGAAGTTATAATGTTTAAAAAGGGCCATGACACAGTGGTTTTACAAAATGATCATAAAATCACCCCAAACACAGAGCAGTTTTAAGGAGAAAAATCTTCAATAACCTTTGCGTAGTTTTTAAAAGTTTGTTTTAACCTGGCAATGAAATGTGCTGAAAGGATGATACTTAAGCTGCCTGACTGCTGCTTGGACTGCATAGTGAGGTAAGCTTGACGCTGAAAGAAAAGAATTTTCAACACAAATGTATGAACAAGACAGGTCTAGTATTACTTGTGTTTGAAGTGTTTCTGAGAGACATATGATATGTTCCTATCAGAAAATAATGCAACTGGCTTTAAATAAGCAGATCAGACCATTTTGTTTCCAGATCCCCAGGCTTGGAACTAGTGTTTGCACCAACTCATCTATAACTCACCCATCTACCCTGTAGCTGAGATGCTGTGTTGTGACATACTGGTCAGGTTCACAGCCATGAGACATGGATAACTGAAACTACGTGGAAGTCTCACGCAAGGACTGGGTTTCAGTAATTCTATGGTCTCGCCATTAGCAATGGGCATTGTCTCACATATAGCTCAGGCATTCTGAAGCCACCTTCCTACATCTCAATAATTCATGGAGAACTTTTAACCTTTCACAGGATACAAACTGAAGGTCTATCCTATGTTTATTACCATTTCTAAAACACTACACTGCCTCTTTTATTGACAATAAAAGATAATGTCTTTCATGGTGGAAGAAATATGCTACTGAAATTTTTTACAAGAAATAAAGAACCTCACTCCACAAACCAAAAGAAGTGGGAAAAGGAGGGAAAGAGGATGATAAGAGGCTGTAAACCTATTCCCTTTTTTCCTTGGTGGATTTGGTAGCAAGTGAGAATGACACCATCTTACCAAATCTACAGCATATAAAGTAAGATTTGCTATTCAGTTGGTAGTTGTTTTATAAAAATCAATGCATGGCACATAGTAAGTACTCAGTAAATACCAGATAATTCAAAGAATAAACAAAATTACATTTTTGACAACTGTATTATTTTGGCCATTTGGGTTTTTCTTTTTACTAAGCATTAATCTCTAGAATAATGATCTATAACTTATCAATGCTATTTTTTTTTTTTTGAGACAGGATCTCACTCTGTCATCCAGGCTGGAGTGCAGTAGCATGAACACAGCTCACTGCAGCCTCAACCCATAGCCTCAGGTGATCCTCCCACCTTAGCCTCCTGAGTAGCTGGGGCTACAGGTGCACACCACCATGTCCAGCTAACTTTTGTATTTTTTTGTAGAGATGAAGTTCCGCCATGTTGCCCAGGCTGGTGGTCTCAAACTCCTTACCTCAAGCAATCCACCTGCCTTGGCCTTCCAAAGTGCTGGGATTACAGGCATGAGCCACCATGCCCAGCCTGTCTGATTCCATATAAATATTATAAGACTTTATAAAGAACATGTAACACAGTAACTGAATGTGTTTAATTAAAAAGGTGTTCAACAAAAATGTGTGAAATAGCAGTTTGAATTATGATGGCATTTCTTTATTTTTTTAATTGACAAAAGTCACATATATTTTTGGTATACAGGTGTTCCCAAACTATGGCCCGCGGGCCGCATGCGGCCCCCTGAGGCCATTTATCTGGCCCCCTGCCACACTTCAGGAAGGGGCACCTCTTTCATTGGTGGTCAGTGAGAGGAGCACAGTATGTGGCGGCCCTCCAACAGCCTGAGGAATAGTGAACTGGCCCCCTGTGTAAAAAGTTTGGGGATGCCTGATATATAACATGATGGTTTGAAATATGTATAAATTGTGGAATAGCTAAATCAAGATAATTAACATATGCATTACCTTGTGTGTATATGTGTGTGTGTATATATGTATGGTGAGAACACTTAAAAGTCTACTCTTAGCAATTTTCAAGTACACAATACATTGTTACTAAACATAGTCACCATGATAGCAACACATTTCTTGAATTTATAAACCGCCTCTTAAGTGTGAATAAGGAAGGGTTTCTTTCAGATCACCATGAACCAAATTAAAATAATTACAATTAGATAATTAATAAGTCATTATTTTTTAAATATCTTGAACTTATTACCCCTGACTAACTGAAATTTTGAAACCTTTGGCTAGTGTCTCCACAGTTCTCACCCGGCCCTTTCCCTTCAAAGCTCCTGATCACCACTGCTCTGCTCTCTCCTTCTGTGAGTTCAACTTTGTCAGTGAGATCATGTGGTATTTTTCTGTGCCTGGCTTATTTCACTTAACACAATGTCCTCCAGGTTCGTCATGTTGCTGCAAATAACAGTATTTTCTTCTTTTTAAAGGCGGAGTAGCATGCTATTGAATGTGGCCTGTAAATATACTTCTTCATCCATTTGTCTGTTGATGGGCACTTAGGTTGATTCCATATCTTGGCTAATGTGAATAATATTGCAGTGAACATGAGAGTACAGATATCTCTTGACATATTGATTTCATTTCCTTTGGATATGTACCCACTAGTGGGGAGGCGGGATCACATGGTAGTTCTATTTTCCATTTTTTGAGGAATCTCCATACTCTTTGGCTGTACTGATTTACTTTCCCACCAAGGGGATTCATGTAACAGGGTTTCCTTTTCCCTAAATCCTTGCCAACAATTGGTATCTTTCTTCTTTTTATAACGGCCATTCTTACAGGTATAAGATGATATCTAATTGAGGTGTTGACTTGTGTTTACTTGATGATTAGTGATGTGTGACATCTTTTCAAATACTTGTTAACAATTTGTATGTCTTCTTTTCAGAAATGTCTATTCAGGTCTTTTGGCCATTTTTAATCAGGTCGTTTTCTTGTCACTGAGTTGTTTCTGTTTCTTATACGTATTGGATGTGAACCCCTTATCAGATGTACGGTTTACAAATATTTTCTCTCATTCTATAAATTGCCTCTTCACTCTGTTGATTGTTTCCTTTTCGAAGCTTTTTAGTTTGATTTACTCCCATCTGTCTATTTTTGCTTTTGTTATTTGCCCTTTTAGGGTTGTGTCAAAAAAAAATCATTGCCTAGACCAATGTCATAGAGCTTCTTCCCTATGCTTTATTCTAGTAATTTTGCAGTTTTATATCCTAAATTTAAGATTTCAATCCATTTCGAGTTGATATTTGTGTATAGTATGGGATAAAGATCAAATTTCATTCATCTGCATGTGGATATCCAGTTTCCCCAACATCATTGACTGCAGACTGCCCTTTCCTCATGGTGTTTCTGGCCTCTTTACTGAAAATTGATTGATCATAAATTTATGAACTTCTTTCTGGGCTCTACATTCTTTTTCACTGGTCTATGTGTCTGTTTCCACACCAGTACCATGCCATTTTAATTATTATAGCTTTGTAGTAGATTTTGAGATCATGTAATATGATGTCTCCAGCTTTGTTCTTCTTGTTCAGGATTGCTTTGCTATTTAAGATCTTTTGTGGTTGCATAAGAAGTGACAAGAATGGGTATTTTTGTCTTGTTCCTGATCTTAGGAGCAAAAGCTTTGAAATTCCCACCCTTGAGTATGATTTAGCTGTGGGCTTGAAATTCAAAAGCTTTGAAATTTCAAAAGCTTTGAAATTCCCACCCTTGAGTATGATTTAGCTGTGGGCTTGTCATATGTGACCTTTATTGTATTGTGATATAATCTTTTTTTCTTTTCTTTTTTTTAGACAAACAGCTTTGTTTGAAAGATGGGGACAACTGAATCCCCAACATTGGTCTCAGGCCTGGGAGGACCAGTGTCCTGTGGAGAGAAGACAGGTTAGCGGTGAGGGCCAGGGGCCAACCATGAGGGGCCAGACCACGTGAGCAGTGGCATCTGGGTGGAGGCCGCGAGCCTGTCGGGGCCTGGGTTTCACCACTGCATGTGGGGCAGCGCGTGGTGAGCTGAGGTCCCCAACATCTTTAAAAACATACTTGGCTCTGGGTGCCAAGTCTTACCCGCGGCCACGGCCAAAGCCAAGGGTGGGGACGGATTTTCAACCCACCCTGGGTGGCCCAGGCATATAAGGCAGGACCTACCTGGGTGGAGAGGAGGTACAGTCTTTCTATACCTAATTTGTTGAGAGTTTTTATCAGGAAAGGATGTTGAATTTTGTCAAATGCTTTTTAAGCATCTCTTAAGATAACCATATGTTTTTTGTCTTTCATTCTGTTAATGTGATGTATCACATTTATTGACATGCCTATGTTGAACCATCCTTACATCCTAGGGATAAATCCCACATGATCATGGTAAATGATTCTTTTAATGTGCCATTGAATTTGATTTACTAGTATTTTTGTTGACAATTTTCACATCCATGTTTATCATGGATATTGGCCTTTAATTTTCTTGTAGGATCCTTTTCTGGCTTTGGTATCAAGGTAATATTGGCCTTGTAAAATGAGTATGAAGTATTCCCTCCTCTTTAATTTTTTGAAAGAATTTGAGGAGAACTGGTACTAGTTATTCTTTAAAATTTAGCAGTGAAGCCATCAGATCCTGGGCTTTTCTTTCATGGAACACTTTTTATTACTGATTCAATATCCTCATTCCTCACTGGTATGTTCAGATTTATTTCTGTTTATTTCTCCATGACTCAACCTTGGTAGGTTGTATTTTTCTAGGAATTTATCCATTTCTTGCAGGTCATCCAATTTGTTGGTGTTTGTTTTTAGTAGTGTCTTATGATCCTTTGTATTTCTGTAGTATTTAGTTGTAATGTCTTATGTAGGCTTTTCTTTAATGGCAGCAAATAGCACTATAGACTGGTATGAGATATAATATGTGTAGATACATACATCAGAGTTTGAAAGAAATATCTACTGTAAGTTGGCTTTCTAGAAATTGCCAACTGCAACATCTTTAAAAACATACTGCTAAAGGCTTGGGACTTCTTACGGCACTTTGACCAATCTAAATTACTCTGCTTAGCTCCCTCTTGAACAAGTACTTCCTCCAGAGGCCATAGACCAAGATAGGTCTTCCACTTGGTACAAACTGAGAGATTCAGGGTACTACATTGATTGATCAAGATAAAGAATCAGATTCCAATTAACCAACCTTTCAACCTCTCTTTTCTCCCCACCAAAGGCAGCCACTGTTCGCATTGATGAAATGACTTCATCAGCCACCATCCCTGCTTTGGCATAGGCCTTCAACTCGTAGTCTGTAAACTTGGACACACTCTAAAAATCAAAAAGAAGAAAAGAAAATGTGAAGTCCAAGAAAATAGGTAAGTCAGCCTGTGATTCGGATTCATTTAACATGTGGCATAGTTTAATACAAGAGTAGATTCTCACTGTAACATCGACAGGAGGAAGATATCTGGTCCAAATTTGGATTATGATAAACTTCATCCAGGGTGTTTGGTTGTTGATATATTGAAAAGACCCTACTAAAAGTCAGACTCAAGAACCTCCTCACAGAATAAGTTCCAAACAGGGCATTCTGTGAGACTAAAATGCTTCAGTCATTATACTAAAAAGTGTCAAGATAGACCATGTCATAGTTCATTGCTATTAGTCAATGGCCATTGCATAATTTATAGACAAATATCAGAGACCCATGCAGATATCATGATTGGGTATAATACATGGCATATAGCATATAGAGTATAGGCAGGATATTGAGAGATGATTCCAGAAAAGAAAGTTCCATGTAAATATTACCCCATTTTCACTCAGTTGGAAATACTCAACTATGTAGTTTTGATTTTTACAAAAGGTAATGAAAAGACATCTGTATTAATAGTAGACACATTAGACTTGGATTGAGTCCTAGTGAAAATGAACCCCCAAAGAAACCCCTGGCAAAGATTAATAAACAAGAAGAAGAAAAAACCCATATTGTGGAAGATCAACTAACTCAGAAATATTAAAAAATATATATAATACCCAGATTAAGGGAGTTTATCTTCCAGTAGTTTTTCCAAATTTTTAGAAGCACAACTCTTAAAAAACAAAATCTTAGATGAAATTCTAAGACATAAGTATTCATAGTCATTTTAAAAAATAATATATTTATTTCATCAGTCCATATTTTATAAAATATGTGTATTGAAAATTTAACAGTAAGGAAAATGAGACTTGGTTTTTTTTTGTGGGAGGCGGGGGTGGGGAACAGGTTCTTATTTTATTGCCCAGGCTATAGTGCAGTGGCACGATCCTAGCTCACTGCAACCTCAAACTTCTAGACTCAAGCGTTTCACTGGCCTCAGCCTCCTGAGTATCTGGCACTACAGGCACATGCCACCTGGTCTGGCTATTTAAATTTTTTTTTTTTTTTTTTTTAGAGATGGATTCTTACTGTGTTGTCAAGACCAAGGCTGTTTTTGTTAACATTAAAATTTATTTAGCCTAGTGAAGTTGCTTGTATAGTTTATTGTATAGTTGCTTGTAGAAGTTTGTTGTACAGGAACAAACATACACAGACTTGAAAGCAAGACAAGACTTGTGCAGACCTACAACATTCCAAATCAGTGACACATTTATGAGAAGCTGGAAATGCATACCAAGATAACTAGAGAAATTAAGCATTAGTTCTGTTTAAAACCAAGTGAACTAAGCTATGTTTTTAATCTCTAACATGTTGAAATATGACCTATGATCCATGTGAGTGTGGATATTACTTTATTACAGGTTTGAAGAAAGAGATTAAGTGTATTAGAAAAAAAAAATGAACAAAATGTTTGCAAAACCCCTGAAGCTCTTCTGTGGAAGTTGAGGGTTCCCTGGACCATAGCTGGAAAGCGGTTAGTAGGAAAGACTGTCATAAAGCTTGAATGATATAGCAGATTTTAAAACATACATCTCTCTTTAATGATTGATTCTGTGCCAGACACTACTTAAGTACATAACGTGGATTATTCCCTAAATCATCATAATGCTTTTGGGAGGCATTATCCCTATTTTAAAGATAAGGAAACTGAGGTTTTCATGGGTTAAATGTATTTTTCCTGAGTCACATAACCTGCTAGTGGTAGAGCCAAGTGGTGACCATGTGAAATGGAGGAGCTCTTTGCTATTGTCATTTTATGCCATTTTCTCTATTATTTGGGAAGTGTTTGAGTAATGCAGTCAGTGGACTGTGAGAATATTTTGCTATTGAGCAATAGGAAATTGGTACGTATTGGTCAATGATGTGTGAGTGTGTATACAGTTTTTCAGTTAAATTCTACTCTTATTTATAGCAAATTTTTAGTATGCCTGATCCCATAACATGCTAGCTAATGTGGCTTCTCTAATAATAATAGTAATTTCTCAGTCCTTGGGAATGTTTTTAACTGATATGACCCCAAATTCCTATTCCTACATGTCTTGGCCTCAACACCTGGGAAACTGAGACAGTAACAGGGATAACTCTTGGAATGGGTCAGATAACCTCCTTCTGAATGATAAGATGAAATGAAGAACACAGTTGTGATTGTAGAAATTTTTTTTTATGTGCTTGTTAATGCTCTGGGTCTGTCTGTTGTGTCATGGAGGGATGTGTCTGAGCTTGGGAGGACACAGGGAACAATAGGCACATTGGAGAGTGGGTGGGGTTTGGAGTAGAGCCCCTCAGCCTTGAATACTGCTCTGCCAGATGTGTGGTCCCAGACAAGCCCCCTTATCTCTCTGAACCTCAGTTTCTTATGTTTAAAATGATGTTAGTGCTCATTTATAAGAGTGCCATAAAGATTAGAGATATGAATGAATATGAAGCTCCTAATAGTGCCTAGAAAAATAGTGACTGCTCAATAAATGTAACTGTTGTTAATAAAACAATATTTACCTTATTAAAACATCATTAATTTCTTTTCTGTGAAATGTCATTTGACACTGGGGAGTAATCCAACAAACTACGTGAAAATAGTGATAATTTTATTGCTAACTATACTCAGGAAAAGGGACTCGAGTTTCACAAGTTTTGGTTATTTATGAGGGCAAATGTCTTCCCAAGGAGAGATGCAAAAAGACATTCTTACCAGACCAATGGTGGCTGCTCCAATCCCAATGAGAGGGCTGACAGAAATAATGACCAAGGTCAATTTCCAACCCCTGAAAAATCCCAACAGGAACCCACAGATGGTTGAGGTCATGCGCTGAATGAAAAGGGCCATTTGGTCAGCTATGGCATCATTGATTTTATTAATATCACTAGAAACCAGAAAGATTTTGGTCACTAAAACTGAATTTGATCATTCAAATGTCTTGCTGAAAGTCTCAGTCTTTTTCTTTTAAACATTCCCGTCTCTCTATCCCCATCACCCATGGGTAGCATTAACAGTCTCTGAAATCTTGGAAAATTTGCCGCACTGTGGGATGTTATCAAGCCTCTTTCTTTGTAGCCAATCAACTTTATCCTCAATCTAGGTTTTCCAGCTGGTATTCAGTGTTGATAAAGGCTTTTGGAAACCATCTTATTTGACTTTTTCTTTTACATAGCTAATATTCTTGCTCTATCTTGAATAGCCTTTCTTTCTTCAAGACTGCTGAATCCTTTCAGCCTTGAGGTTCTAGTCACATACATAGATTGATTGTTCATCAGTCTTGTATAATTCCCCAAGAAGAAGTAGCACCTTTCTCCCTATATATCCATAACACTGTAATTAATCCTTGTGCATGAGTATGTGTGTGTAATTATTGCATTCTGTTTAGAGGCAGTATAGAGTAGTGATGAAGAGCACAGATTCTGGAGCCAGACTAGGAATTTGAATGCAAACTCTTGTTGGCAAAGTTACTTAACCTTTTTATGACTCAATTTTCTTGTCTGTAAAATGAGAATAATAATAGAACTTATCCCAGTGGGTAGTAATGAAGATTGAAGTAGTGAATATATGTAAAGTCTATGGAACGGTGCCTACCATGTAATAAACAATTAATATGTGTTAGTTCTGTTATTTATATGTTTGCACTTCTTATTTCCCCTACTAGGCTGTAAGTTTCTTAAGAGCAGAAGTACAAGGTAATTGCAATATTGATTGAATAGAATTATATTAAATTCATATTCCTGAGAATATTC